GCTCCCCCGCACCCTGAATTTGATATTTCAAACTGACTAATTTGTTCACAAGTGTCATATCATGCACAGTACATACATACTATAGGTACAGGTAATTTCTTACTTGCAGACATTGTAAACATGCTCAACACCAACATGTACATGTACTTCCACACTTAGTACCTTATCATACGTGAACCCCAGTCAAAGTTTACTTTTCAATAGTAGTACATTTTCAGCCAAGTCTGTTAATTACTGGGCTTTCGGAGACCATACATGTAGGGTAAGGGTTAGGCCTTATCGTCAGCATTTGCTCATCTCGAGCTAGGCATTGGCAACTGACATTGAGGTCCAGGTGGAGCTACTGTACTTTAGTCCTGGACAAAAGATTTTGATGTGATTGTAGCTGACGCGGTATACAAAGCATGGTGGGGGTATTTTATATTGTGTCAGATGGCAGAAATACTGGAGGTGACAAAGGATTTTTGATCTCTTAGTTCACCACAGCTGTGGCTTTTTGTTGTGGTTGTCATGAGAAATTTTTATTTCATTTGTGCACGTACACACGCTCCCACACCATAGTTGTGGGGACATTTCACCCATTCTGTTGGGAGCAAAAACATTGTGGGGACTCAGAAGTGAACCCACAACTCGGTTCAAATTTCCCTAACAAAAGAAGTTGTCCTTGAATGCAGTGAATGCCTACCCTGTATTGCCCATGCATTTTGGTCATAGCCCTTGCATTTTGGTCATAGCCCTTGCATTTTGGTCTGCCCTTGCATTTTGGTCATAGCCCTTGCATTTTGGTCATAGCCCTTGCATTTTGGTCATACCCCTTGCATTTTGGTCATACCCCTCGCATTTTGGTCATAGCCATTGCATTTTGGTCATACCCCTCGCATTTTGGTCATACCCCTCCCATTTTGGTCTTTGGGGTTGTAGAGGTGGCAAACATGCTCAGGAAAGAAATTGTCATACAGCTATAAATGATTCCAACCACAGTCCTATTGACATCGCATCTATGAAACTGGGTCTGATTAACTGCCAATCAGCATGTAATAAGACTGAGTCAATCAAAGACCACATCATAGGCAATAATATTGACATTACTGCAATCACAGAGACTTGGTTCAAGTTTGGAGACAACAAAGCACCTATTGTACAAATCTGCACTGACCGCGTCCGTTTCCAAGCAACCACTCGATGACCGTACACCATCACCTACCTCTTTTGAACACATTGAAGTCGACTTAATCCACAACAATCAACGGATACGCATCATTGTTCTCTATCGCCCGCCACCTTCACAGAAAAACAGAGTCCCTTTCAGTGTGTTCACTGAAGAATTCATTGAGCTTCTCGATCGACAGGTGTTCTACTCAGGGTTTCTCATTATCTTGGGTGACTTCAACATCCACTGGGACAAAAACACAAACGAAACCACTGGTTTCAGGGATCTTCTTCTCCAGTACA